TTTTATTTTTTTTTAAATAATTATTTTATTTTACTTTATTTATTTTTTTGTTAATTTGACCAGAGAGTGATAGAGTGAGAGAGAAAGGGAAAAGGAGAGAAAGTGAGAAAGCAAGGCGCCGAGTCTGGTACTCAGACTGCAGTTGGCCACGTTAGAGTCCAGCACCCTCAACTGTCATGCCATCTGCTGGCCCCTGTTTATTTCAGTTTGACCATAGAGGGACAGAGAGCAAGAGAAAGCAAGGCGCCTGGTACGGGATTCGAACTGTGATCGGCCATGTGGAAGTCCAGTGCCCTTAACCACCACACCACCTGCAGACCCCATCCCAGTATTACTCCTAAGACTTTTCCTGTGTGGGTATGGGAGGAGAAAGAGAGACAGGGTGTTTGGATAGATTTGCCATTTCTCAGTCTTCCTGCCATAGCTGCCCAGTTAGCTAGGATTACTGACTCAGCCATGCCCAGTGTGTTCATGTTGACTGGAGAACTGAACCTCAGAACTTCCAGCTTCTTGAGCTATGGCAATACCTATATGCCACTGCAGCTTGCTTCTAACGCTTTTTTTATTTTCTAGAAGGCATGCACACTTGCCAGTTGAGAGTAGAGAGAGAGGGAAAGTGAGAAAGCAGCCTCTGTGGGGGATGGCCATGCCACAGTTCCTCCTCTTCACCTCTTCCTCCATTCCTCTTTTTGGGATTTTTGGCACATGCCTGGCATGTTTTTCAAGCCATAATGTTTGGGACTCAAGGCTGTGCCTTTGGCCATGTGGAATCCAGCTGCTTTAGTCACCACCACTGGCTGGCCCAGTAAGACATTTTTAATAGCAGTGGATGATGGATTGCATAGAAAATGTAATTGCTAAGTTTGGCCTGGTAGTGCAGTAGTTAAACACTGCAGAGGAAATTGGCCGAGCAGGATTTGAATCTTTGTCACAGTGGCTTATACACTGGATGTGCTTATATTCAGGATCCTGTTGGATGGAGAATTGAAGAAAGGATTGTGGTGTAACCAGGCCCTGTTGGGGAGTGTTTTTCTCCTCTTTTTGTCTCATTTGTGCACCCTCTGGTGTAATAAAATTTTAAAAATTCAAAAATGTACAAATAAAAAAGAACAAAATGATTCATAGATTCTTCAGCCTGTGAAAAACATTCAGTAGATCAAATAAAATTTGATGTATTGAAAAACATTTTAGGTGTCAGCAGGTGGCATGGTGATTAAGGCACTGGATTCCACACAACTGACTGTGTGGTTCAATTCCCAGACCTGGTGGCTTGCTTTCTCACCGCAGGGTGCGTGTGCGTGTGTATCCAAGATCTTGAGAGGAGAATGGAGGAGAAGGGATTGCGACATGGCCATCCCCCATGGGGGGTGATTTCTCGCTTTCTGTCTCTCTGACAAGCACACATGCCTTGTAGCAAAAATCTTTTTTTAAAAAAAAAATACTGACTGATACAGAATTTTTTTTTTTTTGAGAGGTTTTTGCTATAGGGCACGCGTGCGCTCACCAGAAAGAGAGAGACAGAAAGCGAGAAATCACCCCCCATGGGGGATGGCCATGTCGCAATCCCTTCTCCTCCATTCTCCTCTCAAGATCTTGGATACACACGCACACGCACCCTGCGTGAGTTTAAGCCGTGGGGTCCAGGACTCGAACCACGGTCGACTACAGGGGAGTCCAGCAACATAGCCATTATGCTAACTACTGGTCCCCTGATATAGAAATTTAAAGAAATGTTGATCTAGGAGGAAATAAAATGTTTTTTCATACCATTGATAATCTGAATAAGACCCATTATTGCTTTAAGTCTGATAGAAAGGATTAGTGGAAGTTCTTTGAGTAGGTTTAAACAAACTGTTTAGAAAACTACTGGTTTGAGGTAATAAGCTAATTGAAGAAATAGATAACATGAAAGGACATCCTTGGTGACTTAAAAATGCACACTGTCATTGCCTGCCTGCTACACTGAGGACTGCAGCCTTTGCGTTTACTTTAGGTGGTATGCACAAAGCCACCTGAATTCAAATCCTGTTTTTGCTATTCGACACTGAGTTGAGTTAAGTAACATCTCTGTATCTCACTTTCTTTATCAGTAGAAAGAATCTGACATTAGTTATCTCAGAGGGTTGTGGGCATAAAAATGAAGGGACCAGCAGGTGGTATAATGGTTACTGGGTTGGATTCTTACATGGCTGACAATGGTTCAAGTCCTGGTCGCATGGCTTGAAAATCACTCCAGGCACGTGTGTATGTGTCCCCAAAAGCCCAGGAAGAGTGTGGAGGAGAAAGGTTTGTCGTGTGGCCATCTCCACAGGGCGTGATTTCTCACTTTCCCTCACACACTCTCTCTCAGGTGAGTAACACACGTGCCCTGTGGCAAAAACCTTTAAAAAGAGGAAAAAAGGAATAGTTTGTCAAATCCTGTTGCTTGGCCCTGCTGTTTCAGGTTCCTGAGTATCTTAATGGAGACACTGATGTAATTTTTTGCATAACCAGCTGTGCATGCTCTTTCCTAGGATGAATGAAATGAACTTGAGCCCTGTGGGGATGGAGCAGCTGACTTCATCCTCCGTGAGCAATGCCTTGCCAGTCTCAGGAAGCCACCTGGGGTTGTCTGCCTCCCCCACCCACAGTGCCATTTCTGCCCCAGGTGAGTGGGAAGGGAGAGCCACTGCATTTTCTTTTTTTAAAATAATTATTTATTTAATTTTATTTATTCATTCATTTATTTTAATTTGACCAGAGAGAGACACACACACAGAGAGAGGGAAAGTGAGAAAGCAAACCACCAGGTCCAGTATTTGAACTGCAGTCGGCCATGTAGGAGTGTCCAGAGCCTTAACCACCATGCCACCTGCTGGTCCCCAGAAATCAGTATACTTTGAATAGTTCTATATGACAAGTGTCATTTTTCTTCTCTGTTTTCAAGTTTTTCTTGTCTTTAGTTTTCAGCATTTTGGGTGATTTTTCAGCAATGTGCCAGGATATGTATCTTTTGAGTTTTCCTGGTTTGCGTTTGCTGAGCATCTTGACTCTCAATTTGTGTCTACCAATTTGAGATGATTTCTACAAAATTTTTCTACATCATACTTTTTCTCCTGATCTTCTGAGAACTATATAACTCCAAAGTTAGGCCTTGTTACATTGTCACTAACATATCTAAAGTGCCATTTATCTTTTTAAATTTTTTTTCTTTCTTGTTCAGATTGGATGATTTTTATTAATCTATCCTCAAATTTACTGACATTCTAGATTTACTATTGAGCCTATGCACCTAATTAAAAAAAATTACTTTTAAAAAATTTGCTATAGGGAACCAGCAGTTAGTGTAATGGCTATGTCGCTGGACTCCCACGTAGTCAACCACGGTTCACGTCCCGGACCCTGTGGCTTAAAGCTCACGCCAGGCGCGTGTGCGTGCGTGCCTAAGATCCTGAGAGGAGAATGGAGGAGAAGGGATTGCGGCGTGACCATCCTCCCTCCACCCACAGTGCCATTTCTGCCCCAGGTGAGTGGGAAGGGAGAGCCACTGCATTTTCTTTTTTTAAAATAATTATTTATTTAATTTTATTTATTCATTCATTTATTTTAATTTGACCAGAGAGAGACACACACACAGAGAGAGGGAAAGTGAGAAAGCAAACCACCAGGTCCAGTATTTGAACCGCCATTGGCCATGTGGGAGTGTCCAGCACCTTAACCACCACGCCACCTGCTGGTCCCTAAGCCACTGTGTTTAACACTTACCTGTGTTTTTGGTTTCAGTGGAGCCTAGAGGAGGCAAGAGCTGTTACAACCCAAGAGGGAAGCCAGGCAGGCCTTAGTGGTTGTCCCATATGTGGCAGCCTGATGGGAGAAAATGTGTTTATAGAGTACCAGAGTTCCAGTGCGTAGGAATAGCATTTTTTCTGATGGTTCTCTTTGGCTTGGTAGCATTTTGTGCAGAGCTACCTTTGACTTGCCATTTATTTACAGTTACCCATACATCTAGTTCACATCTGGGCACCCTGTTCCTGAGTTAACAGAAGAGAATCAGTTTAAACGGACGCTAATTCCCAGGAAGCATGGGGAATTAGGCTTTCTTTTTCCTGGGTTTGGAACTGAGTGACAGCTGCAGATGTACCAGTTCTCGAATTATGTAGAAAGAGGTACCGGGGATGGAGCTATTGCATGGAACTCTCCATGAACCTCAGTATTTAGAGAAATTATATAGGAAAAGCTCATTTTCCCCCTCATTGTCTCTCTCTTTTTAACTTTTGAAAAACTGATTTTTGGCTGGGAACCAGCAGTTAGTGTAATAGCTATGTCGCTGGACTCCCACATAGTTGACTATGCGGTTTAAGTCCCAGACCTGGCGACTTAAGCTCATGCCAGGTGCATGTGTGTGTGTGCGTGCCCAAGATCCTGAGAGGAAAATGGAGGAGAAGGGATTGCGGCGTGGACATCCCCCCTGGGGGGTGATTTCTCGCTTTCTGTCTTTATGTCTCTGTCTAGCGAGCACACGCGCCCTATAGCGAAAACCTCTCCAAAAAAATAAAAAACTGGTTTTTGGGACCAAGAGATGACATAATGACATTATGTCGCTGGACTCCCACATAGTTGACTATGCGGTTTAAGTCCCAGACCTGGCGACTTAAGCTCATGCCAGGTGCATGTGTGTGTGTGCGTGCCCAAAATCATGAGAGAACAGAGGAGAAGGGAGCCATCCTTCTTAGGGAGTGATTTCTCACTTTCTATCTCTCTGGTGAGCAATGCACCCTATAGCAAAAAAATCTCTTAAAAAAACCCTACAAAACTATTTTTTTTTGCCAGAGTGTACATATGCTTGGGATGTGAGGGATAAAACTCCCCCATAGGAAATGGTTGTAATTCCTCTTTCTTTTCTTCTTCCTTTTAGAATCTTGGGCACACATATGCCTGGTGTGTTTCTAAAGCTTCCTGGTCCAGGACTCGAACCATGTGGGCAGCTATGTGGGATCTGGCTGCCTTAACCATCACACCACAGGCTGGCCCACTGTCATGATCTTTTTAAAACTATGAGAGGTGCTGGCTAGTTTCTTTTTCTATTGAAATGAAAAACAAATGAGTAAGCTGTTGATTTTTTTAAAAGAATTTTTTTTAAAAAGAATTATTTTATTTAACTTTACTTTTTTTTTAAAAGGGTTATTTTATTGAACTTTATTTTTATTTGTTAATTTTTATTTTCTCTCTTTTTTTTGGAGAGGTTTTTGCTATAGGGCGCGTGCGCTCACCAGACAGACAGAGAGAGACATAGAGACAGAAAGCGAGAAATCACCCCCCGGGGGGATGTCACGCCGCAATCCCTTCTCCTCCATTTTCCTCTCAGGATCTTGGGCACGCACACACACGCGCCCGGCGTGAGTTTTAAGCCACTGGGTCCGAGACGCGAACCGCGGTCGACTACATGGGAGTCCAGCGACATAGCCATTACGCTAACTGCTGGTTCCCGTTAATTTTTATTTGACCAGAGAAGGACAGAGTGAGAGAGAGGGGTGGCAGTGAGAAAGCAAGCTGCCAGGTCCAGGACTTGGACCACAGTTGGCCATTCGTGAGTCCAGTGCTCTTAACCACCACACCACCTGTTGGCCCCTTACTTATTTGTTTATTTTTTTGATTTAACCAGAAAGGGACAGCGAGGAGGAGAGTGAGAAAGCAAGCCGCCAGATCCGAGACTCAAACCGCAGTTGGCCATGTGAGAGTCCAGCGCCCTTAACCACCACGCCATTTGCTGGCCACTGTTATTTATATATTTTTTAATTTACCAGAGATGGAGAGAAAAGGAAAGTGAGAAAGCAAGCCACCAGGTCTGGGACTCAAATCGTGGTTGGCCATGTGGGTGTACAGGGCCATAACCACTGTGCCACTTGCCGGCCCCAAGCTAGTGATTCTTTTTTTTTTTTTGGTGGGGGGAAGATTTTACTACAGGGTGCATGCACTCGCCAAAAAGAGATAGACAGAGCAGCTGAAAGCAAGAAAGCAATCCCCAAGGGGGGTGGCCACGCTGCAGTCCCTTCTTCTCCATTCTCTTAGGCACGCACGCACATGTGCCTGGCATGAGTTTAAGCTACCAGGTCTGGGACTTGGACCGTGGTCGACTACATGGGAGTCCAGCAACGTAGCCATTATGTCATCTGCTGGTCCCTGCTATTGATTCTTAACAGTGGTAAGATAATGGTCCTTAAGGATTTATAACATAATGTATTAGTTTTTTTTTTTTTTAAATAATTATTTAATTTTTATTTACTCATTCATTTATTTTAATTTGGCCAGAGAGAGACACAGAAAGCGAGAGAGAGGGAAAGTGAGAAAGCAAGCCACCAGGCCCGGGACTCAAACTGTGGTTGGCCATGTGGGAGTGTCCAGCACCTTAACCACCATGCCACCTGCTTGTCCCGACATAATGTATTAGACTTTATCAAAATAAAAGTTAATGTTTAGAAATATTTTAAATAAATCTGTAGTTGTTTAAATACTTCTCTATAGAGAATTACCTCCTTAATTATTAAAATAAAGCAGTGAAGTGAGATTCACTTAATCTGGAGTCTCTCCACATTCCTTTAAGTGTCTTCAAAAGGAAATTTTGGGGGCCAGCAGATGGCATAATGTTTACATCACTGGACTCCCACGTAGTCGACACAGTTCCAGTCCCAGACCCAGTGGCTTAAAACTCATGCTGGGTGCATGTACATGTGTGCCCAAATTCCTGAGAGAAGAATGGAGAAGGAGGGATTGTGGTATGACCATCCCCGGGTAGTGATTTCTTGCTTTCTGTCTCTCTGGCCAACACACGTACCCTATAGCAAAAATCTCTCAAAAAAATAAAAAAAGGAAAGTTTTAAAAATATATTAGTTGTTAACCCATTTTTTTAAAAGTTGATTTCTTCTGGGGCCAGCCAGGTAGTGTGGTAGTTAAGGTGGCTGGATTCCACATGGCCAACCACATGGTTTGAGTTCCAGACCTGGCAGCTTAAAAAATATGGGGAGGGCTGGGACCAGCAGGTGGCGTGGTGGTTAAAGTGCTGGACATTCCCACATGGCTGACCATGGTTCAAGTCCTGGACCTGGTGGCTTGCTTTCTCACTTTCTCTCTCTCTCTCTGTTTCTCTGGTCAAAATAAAATAAGTAAATGAATAAATAAAATTAAAAATAAATAATTCTTTAAAAAAAAAATATGTGTATGTGTGTGTCAAGACCCTAAGAGGACAAGGGAAGAGGAGGGATTGTGGCTTTACCATCCTAGCCCTGGAGGGTGATTTCTCACTTTCTCTCTCTCTCTCTCTGTCTCTCTCTCTGTCTCTGGTGAGCACATACACCCTATAGCAAACATCTCTTAAAAAACAATCCATAGTGTTACTACTCAGAGACCACTCTTGTGAACACACTGTTAGGTTTTTTCCTGTTTTTTTTTTTTTTTCTGTATATAATTCATTTTCTTAAATTATGTATGTAATTCATTTTCTTAAATTATATTTAAACTGGGACCAGCAGTTGGCGTAATGGCTATGTTGCTGGACTTCCATGTAGTCGACCGCAGATCAAGTCCTGGATCTGGTGGCTTAAACTCACACTGGGCGTGTGTGCGTGTATGCCCAAGATCCCGAGAGGAAAATGGAGGAGAAGGGATTGCAGCTTGGCCATCTCCCCCCGGGGGTGATTTCTCGCTTTCTGTCTATCTCTCTCTGTCTTTCTGGTAAGCGCACGCATCCTATAGCTAAAACCTCTCCAAAAAAAATTATATTTAAGCTAGGATTTTGTTTTTTAAAGAATTATTTTGTTTTATTTCACTTTCACTTAATTTATTTATATTAATTTGACAACAGAGAAAGAGAAAGTGAGAAAGCAAGCCGCCAGGTCCAGGACTCAAACCGTGGTCAGCCATGTGGGAGTTCAGCACCCTTAACTACCACGCCACCTGCCAGCCCCTTAAACTAGGATTTTAATTTTAAAATTACAGTTAAAAGCAATACAGATAATTGCAGGATCAAATTGGCATTTTATTTTACTTTTTTTTTTTTTTTTTTTTTTTTTAGAGATTTTTTTGCTATAGGACGCATGCACTTGCAGAGAGAGAGAGACAGAAAGTGAGAGAAATCACCCCTCCAGGGGGGATGGCCACACTGTAGTACCTTCTTCTCCATTCTCCTCCTGGGATCTTGGGCACACAGCACACGCACCCAGCATGAGTTTTAAGCTGCTGGGTCTGAGACTTGAACTACGGTTGACTACGTGGGAGTCCAGTGGCGTAACCATTACGCTATGTGATGTCTCATTATTTTACTTATCTTTGAATAGCGAAAGGGTGTATGCTATTAGAGAGAGAGACAGAGAGGGAGAAAACGAACTCCCCAATGGGGTGTGGTCATGCTGAAGTTCCTTCTCCATTTCTCAATCCTTTTAGGATCTTGGGCACATGCACATATGCCTTGTGTTTTTCAAGCCACAAGGGCCAGGATTTTTTTTTTTTTTTAATTGCATTCATTGTTATTTTTTTAATTTGACCTCAAAGTGTGAAAACAAACCATCAGGTCTGGGACTTGAACCATAGTCACCCATGTGGGAATCTAGTGCCTTTAACCACCATGCCACCTACCAGCCCCACAGGGCCAGGCTTTGAACTGCAGTTGGTCATGTGGATTCCAGCTCCCTTAACCCTAGCTTGGCTTTTTTTTTTTTTTTTTTTTTTTTAATTGCCAGAGAAAGCGTATGAGAGAGAAATGAGGTATGGTCGTGTCATGATTTTCTTCTCCATTTTTCTATCTCATCAGGATTGTGGGCCCACACGCACAGGCACCCAGCATATCCAACTTGGCATTTTAAAACTAGCTTGAGAACTAGCTTTAGGACTATGGCTACTTTGTTTATACGTATTTATGGATGTTTGCACAGTACTATATGGAGTGGAAAAATATATTTGATGAGATTTTTGCTCATATACAATAATTTTCCCAAGAGTTTACCAGTTGTTTTAATAGAACTGAGAACTTACTTGTATTTTCTTTTACTTGAAAATAAAAACAGTTTTCTATTTCTGTAGGCCTACCAGTCGCAATTCCAAACCTGGGTCCGTCCCTGAGCTCTCTGCCTTCTGCTTTGTCTTTGATGCTCCCAATGGGTATTGGGGATCGTGGGGTGATGTGTGGGTTGCCTGAGAGAAACTACACCCTACCTCCACCCCCTTACCCTCACCTGGAGAGCAGTTACTTCAGAACCATTCTACCTGGTAAGTGTATCGTCATTTGGGATGTTAGAAAAGAACAGCCAGCTCTGCCCTCTTGAAGATCTGAATGATACTTACCAGCAGTAGATAATCGTAGGCAAAAACAATTTTGTTTATATATTTATGTTCTTTCCATCCATCTTGGATCATATAACACAGCAGTTTGACTAAGCTAAATTTCTTCATTGTATGTAAACAATTTTTCTCCCCTTTTTTTGGTAGTGGTTTTTGCTATAGGGCACATGTGCTTGCCAGAAAGACAGAGACAGAGAGACAGAAAGTGAGAAATCACCCCCCAGTGGGGATGGCCACACTGCAGTCCCTTCTCCTCCACTCTCCTCTTGGGATCTTGGGCATGCACGCACACGCACCCGGCGTGAGTTTAAGCCACAGGTCTGGGACTCGAACCATGGTCAACTACATGGGAGTTCAGCGACATAGCCATTACACCACCTGCTGGTCCCACAATTTTTCTCCTTTTTTAGAGCATCTTGGTTTAGTGTCTCTCATTCTGCAAGTAAAATATTTAGCAATTTTGTGTCCTGCTTCAATGTCTTTTTTTGGTGCGTGTGGTTTTATAACTTTATTTGATATTCAGCAGTTAGTTCTCATTCACGTTGATTGTCGGTAGATTTTTGAAACTAGTAACAGGTACACAGGTCACCAGGGTATAGAGCTTGTTGGGTGAATCTTCATCCTCATTAGTTTTCTGGACAACCACACACAGATACGGTACGGGCCGTTCCTTATTCCTTTGGCCTAGACAGCTTTGTTGAGCCTGGTATCAGTGTGCACATCTGGAGTCCGCATCTCCTTCATGGTAAATTTACAGGTCTCTGAGTGCCCAAGGGGCACATTTCTTGAAGCCCATATCGTAGATGTGCTTGTGAGTGTTGATTTTGTATTCTCAGGTCACCACCTCATTGGTGGCAGAGTGGCCCTTCTTTTTGCCACCCTCTTTGTAGGAGCCATTCTGCCAGACCTACACAGGAAAAAAAAACCAGTGTCACTGTTTATAATGCAGACTGCATTTTCATTCTGTTATAAAAGTATTACATACTCATTTCAGAAAATTCAGCAAATGAAGTGGGAGGGGAACCACTCCGTCCTGTCATCCAACTTTTTGGTGTACTTTCTTTATTTATTTAAAAGTTTATTTTATTTTATTTTTGTCTCACTTGCCAGAGAGACAGAGACAGAAAATGAGAAATCACCCCCCAGGGAGGGTGTCCACACTGTAATCCCTTCTGCATTCTCCTTTCAGGTTTTGTAGGTACACGCACACTTACTTGGCATGAGTTTTAAGCCACTAAGTCTGGAACTCACACTGTGGTCCACTATGTGGGAGCCTAGCGACATGGCCATTATGACATCTGCTGGTCTTGGTGTACCTTGTTTTCTTTTTTATCTTGATACATAGAGTTGTTTTTTTTTTTTTGTTTTGTTTTTTTAATAATATTTAGGGACCAGTGGATGGCATGGTTGTTAAAGGCACTGGATTCCCACGTAGTCAACCATGGTTTGAATCCCAGACCTGGCAGCTTGCTTTCTCCCTTTCCCTTTCACCTTCTCTATGGTCAAATTAAAAAATACTGGGACCAGCAGTTAGCGTTAATGGCTATGTTGCTGAACCTCCCATGTAGCTGACTGCGGTTCGAGGAGAAGGGATTGCAGCATCCCCCCCGGGGATGATTTTTCGCTTTCTATATCTTTGTCTCTCTCTGTCTGTCTGGCGAGTGCACGTGCCTTATAGCAAAAACTTCTCAAAAAAAAAATAATAATAACAACAAATGGAATTAAATAAATTTTTAAAAATAATTTTTAAAAGAATTATTTTATTTAACTTTATATGTATTTTAATTTGACTAGAGAGGAACAGAGAGAGAGAGAACCTGAGAAAGCAAGCCATCAGGTCTGAGACTTGAACCGTGGTCAGCCATGTGGGAATCTACTGCCCTTAACTACCACACCATCTGCCAGCCCGGTACATAGGTTAGGTTTTTACTGTTTTTAATAATTAAGACCATACTTTTTTTCAAAAGAATTACTTTATTTAACTTTATTTATTATTATTACTTTTTAATTTGACCAGAGAGAGAGACAGTGAGAAAGCAAGCTCTCTGGGACTTGTAATGTGGTCAGCCATGCGGGAGTCCAGTGCCTTCATCACCACATCACCCGCCAGCCCCAAGACCGCACTTTCATAGCTTCTTTACCATTGTCCACTTAATGTTTTTCTCTGCTTTCACATAGTTATTTTCTCTGGCTGTTACATGGTTTCTGTACTTACTTTTCTCTCCCAGTTTCCTTTCTTCCTTTCTTTTAATTGCTGGAGGGCACATGTGCTTGCCAGAGAGAAAGCACCCAGCTGAATGGGACATGATCACATCACAGTCCTTTTTCCTCCATTTATTCATCTTGTCAGGATCCTGGGCACTCACAGACACTCACCTGGCATGTGTTTCAAGCTGCTGGGGCCAGGATTCATACCTTGGTCAGCCATGTATTCTGGTCCCTGTGTACAATGCTTAACTGTTGCACGACAGGGCCAGCCTATAATTATTCCTGTTGATGTATTACTTTCTACTAGATGACTCTTGCGTGGCTTATTATGTTGAACTTTATTGTTGTACAGTTTGCTTTTTCTAGTTTTCATTGCCATTGTAATTAAAGCCTCTTATGAATATCTTTGTGTCTAGTACTTACAAATGTATTTAGGGAAGATTACCATAAGTGAAATCTCTTGTGCAAGAGAGTATGAACATTTTGAGGTTCTTAATATGTTTGCTTTACAAAGAAGTTAATGGGACTATCAGATGGCATAACAGTTATGTCGCCGGACTCCCACATGGTTGACTGTGATTTATGTCCCAAACCCAGTGGTTTCAAACTCAAACCGGGTGCGTGTGCATGTTTGCCCAAAATCTTCAGAGGAGGCTGGAGGAGAAAGGATTATGGCATAGCCATCCTCTCTGGTTGATGATTTCTCACTTTCTTTCTCTTCCTCTCTCTCTCTTGTCTTTCTGGTGAGTGCACGTACCCTATAGCAAAAATCTCTTAAGAAAAAAAAAAGTAGTTATGGGGCCAGCAGGTGCATGGTTGCTAAGGGTGCTGGACTTCACATGGCTGACCATAGTTTGAGTCCCAGACCTGGCAGCTTGCTTTCTCACTTTCTCTCTCTTTCACTCTGGTCAAATTTAGATAGATAAGCAAATAGATAGATAGATAGACAGACAGACAGGCAGACAAATTTAAATAAAATAATTCTTTTTCTTTTTTGTAATTATTTTTCTTTTTTAAAAATAATTATTTTTATTTAACTTTATTTATCCATTTATTTACTTATTTTAATCTGACCAGAATGGGACAGAGTAAGAGAGAGAAAGTGAGAAAGCAAGCCACCAGGTCCGGGATTCAAACCGTGGTTGGCCATGTGGGAGTCCAGCGCCCTTAACCACCACGCCACCTGCCGACCCCTAAAATAATTCTTATTAAAAAATGTTAGTAATTTACACTCCACTGGTTGTGTAGCAGATACCATTTTACCAGATCCCAGCAAGCATGATTGCTAAACTTTGTTTTAGTTAAGCTAGTAATATGTCTTGATTAAAATTTAATGTGTTATAATTCAGTAAGAAAAACTTCATCATATTTAGTTGTCTTTTTTAACATAGATGACCTGATTCTAAATAATTTTATCTTTAATTCTTGTACAGCAAATTTTAGCATCATATGACTCAGGAATTGGAACCATTTTTTTTTTTTAAAGAGATTTTTGCTATAGGGAGCATGGACTTGCCCCAGAGACAGAGACAGAGACAGAGAGCCAGAAATCACCCCTTGGGGGCATGGCCATGCCACAATCCCTTCTCCATTCTCCTCTTGGGATCTTGGGCATGCACACATGTGTGCCTGGTATGAGGTTGAAGCCGCCCGGTTTGAGACTTGAACTGTATTCAACTGTGTGGGAGTCCAGCATTCTAACCATTATGCCATCTGCTGGTCCTGCAACCATAAATATTAGAGACAGTTTTTAAATAACTAATTTTTTTTTTTTTTGAGAGGTTTTTGCTATAGGGTGTGTGCTCTCGCCAGATAGACAGAGAGAGACAGAGAGACAGAAAGCAGGAAATCACCCCCCAGGGGGTATGGCCACGCCGCAATCCCTTCTCCTCCATTCTCCTCTCGGGATCTTGGGCACGCACGCACACGCGCCCGGCGTGAGTTTAAGCCACCGGGTCTGGGACTCGAACTGCGGTCGACTACGTGGGAGTCCAGCGACATAGCCATTACACTAACTGCTGGTCCCTTAAATAACTAATTTTCAGAGAAATCGTTTTTTAAGATTTCTGAGTTACACAGAAAAAAATAATTTATATCTGTTGCTTCATAAAAGTGTATGGGTTGATTACATTAAGGGAGATTATTTTAACTTCATTATATTTGTAAGGAAAACAGCTTTTAGCATTTTTAATTCTTTATATTTAACACTGCACTAAAAAGTCTCTGATATTTCATCTTTCTCTTTCTCTTAGGCATTTTATCTTATTTAGCTGACAGACCACCTCCTCAGTACATCCACCCCAACTCTATAAATGTTGATGGTAATACAGCATTATCTATCGCCAATAACCCTTCAGCACTAGATCCCTACCAGTCCAATGGAAATGTTGGATTAGAACCAGGCATTGTTTCAATAGACTCTCGGTCTGTGAACACACATGGTGCCCAAAGTCTTCATCCCAGTGATGGCCATGAAGTGGCCTTGGACCCAGCAATCACTATGGAGAACGTTTCTAGGGTCACCAGCCCAATCTCTACTGATGGAATGGCAGAGGAACTTACAATGGATGGTGTGGCAGGTGATCATTCACAAATCGCAAATGGCTCCAGAAGTCATGAACCTTTGTCCGTGGATTCTGTGAGCAACAACCTTGCAGCAGACACTGTAGGACATGGTGGTGTGATACCCATTCATGGGAATGGCCTGGAGCTCCCTGTGGTCATGGAGACAGACCACATCACTAGTCGGGTCAACGGGATGTCGGACAGTGCCCTCAATGACTCCATCCACACTGTGGCCATGAGCACCAACTCTGTAAGCGTGGCACTCTCTACCTCACACAACCTCGCTTCCTTAGAGTCTGTTTCCCTGCATGAAGTTGGTCTCAGTCTAGAACCAGTGGCTGTCTCCTCTATCACTCAGGAGGTTGCTATGGGAACAGGCCATGTAGATGTATCTTCAGACAGTCTTTCTTTTGTACCACCTTCACTGCAAATGGAAGACTCCAATTCAAACAAGGAAAACATGGCAACCTTGTTTACAATTTGTGAGTGTGCTTTAGCCTTTCTCTCGTGGAAATATTGGTAAAAAGGGTCATCGTGCCTAATAAGCGTAGCCACAGAGGGGGGTGTAGAAGGTAACTAGACCTGCCCCTAGAGGCGTTGCAGTTGTGGCTGCTGTGTCACAGCTGTGTCAGTTGTGGGCAGAGAGTACAGAGGCTATGTCTACGCTCAAGTGTTCTGACCCATGAACATTTGAATGATTAGTAACCTGACACTTAAAAAAGTAACTAGATTGGAATTTTTCTTTTTAAAATTTGTCTTTTTATTGTCCTTGATATCAGTATGGTGTCTTTTGTGTAAGTAAGCTAAATGATATGTATTTTGTTGGTCCTTACAGCATCCTCCTGAAAAAGGAGATACAAAGTAGTTACTTCTGTAATTTATGGATAAAACTTATAGCTCAATAATTATTTATTATAATTACTTTTTAAAGAATTATTAAATTTTATTATTATTATTATTTTTTAATTTGACCAGAGAGGGATAGAGTGAGTGAGAGAGAGAGAAAGTAAGAAAGCAAACCACTAGATCCAGGACTCAAAACTTGAGTTGGCCATGTGGAATTTCAGTGCTCTTAACCACCATGCCACTTGCCAGCCCCAATTATAATTATTTTTAATTTGCTATAGTTATGTGTGCTCACCAGAGAGAGACAGAGGGAGAAACACCACCACCAAGTCTGGGACTTGAACCATGGTCAGCCACATGGGAGTTCAGGACCTTAACAACCATACCACCTGCTGTCCCTAGCCCAGTAATATTTAAAGTTTCACAAATATAGGGTAATAGAAGTGAACTTAAGTAAATGCTGTTCTGTGACATGCCCTTTTTCTTTCTTCTCTTAAGAATTTTATTTATCTTTATTTATTTTTGTTTGACCAGAGAAGGACAGAATGAGAGAGAGAAAGGGAAGGAAAGTGAGAAATCAAGCCACCAGGTCTGGGACTTGAACTGTGGTCAACCATGTGGGAGTCCAATGCCCTTAACCACCACACCACTTACCAGCCTGTGTCCTGTACTTTTTCAGCACAAAACAAACAAATGTATTAGATCACCTTTACTTTTATAACCATATGGAAAAACATAGGTAGATATAAATGCAGATTTATTGCATGTTCAAAATTCATATAAATGACCATAGTTTGGCATGTAGGAGTTATTTTTTATTGAGCAATAACAAAAAAGCAGCATGAAAATAATAACATTATTGGTATCATTCATGCGGAAGTGTGAGTACCCTGTGCTAACCTCTGCTAGAAGCTGAGTACAGAACTGTCTACAAAGAGATAGCACTTTTTTTTTGGGGGGGGGGAGGTTTTTGCTATAGGGTATGTGCATTTGCCAGAAAGACAGAGACAGACAGACAGAAATCACCCTCCAGCGGGGATGGCCATGCTGCAGTCCCTTCTCCTTCATTCTCCTCTTGGAATCTTGGGCACACACGCACACGTGCCCAGTGTGAGTTTTAAGCCACTGGGTCTGGGACTTGAACCACGGTTGACTGCATGGGAGTCCAGTGACACAGCCATTACACCAACTGCTTGTCCCCTAAAGATTATGTATTTTAAGAGTCTTATGAATTGGGAAAATTTGAACTCAGTCACTAATAATTTCATGAATACTATTCTTTAACAGAGAGAAAAGAAAGTGTAAAGATTAGACCAAAAGAAGATTTATAGAGGGCACTCACAAGCTTGTAAAAGTGAAAGTGATAAGAACAGAGGACAATATATGAATGCACTGCTCTGAAAATGCAAAAAGAAAGTCCCTATGGGCAATAAGGTATTCAGAGAGCTAAGCAATACATCTGCAAGAATATGTTTCTAGCTGCTCTCCAAAAGGGCAACTTGTAGATTTTCCTTTTCCTTAGAATGTGTCATTGTGGGGCCAGCAATTGGTGTCATGGTTAAGGCACTGCACTCCCACATGGCTAACTGTGGTTCAAATCCTGGACCTGGTGGCTTGAAAATCACAGTGGTCGTGTGTGTGTATGCCTAAAATCCCAGAAGAAGGAGGGATTGTAGCATGGCCATCCCCCCTGGGGGATGATTTTCACCTTTCCTCTCACTGTCTCTCTCGCTCTTTTTCTGGTGAGTGCATATGCCCTATGTCAGAAACCTTAAAAAAAGAAAATGTGTCAGGCACTGGACACTCCCACATGACTGACCACTGTTCGAGTTCTGGACCTGGTGGCTTGCTTTCTCACTTTGTGTGTGTGTTTGTGTGTGTGTATCTGGTCAAATTAAAATAAATGAATGACCAAATAAAAAAAAGGGGGACCAGCAGTTAGCGTAATGGCTATGTCGCTGGACTCCCATGTAGTTGACCGTGGTTCAAGTCCTGGACCCAGTGGCTTAAACTCACGCCGGGCGTGTGTGCGTGCGTGCATGCCCAAGATCCCGAGAGGAGAAGTGAAGCAAAAGAGTACAATAATATAACTGTTTTGGACTCCATTATCTTGTAATGTCTCTGTGATTAATAGCATTTTAATTCAATTTCCTCTTAAAATTCAGGATTGGAATCTTTTGGCCTGGGGGCACCATATCTGAAATGTTACATATCAGCTACTTAATGTAGGTGCTGTGCTTGGCTGCTGAGGTAGTACAGTGCCGTATTTTGATCCATCTTTCTCGTGCACTGAGTGGGCAACTTTCCCTTTCGTCCCGAAAGGAAAACTCATCTTATTGAAGTCTGTAGGGAGGTAGAGGTGTATGTCTGTATTGTAAGAAAGTGGTTCTTTGAGCAGAGTATTTCTACTGGAACTTTGTTTCTTTCTGGTTGTTTTAGTAGTTAACACTGAAATAAAAATCCAGGTGGCAGTCTCACCTGGCTGAACAGAATAAGCCCATTTGTGCCTCTCCTATTTGCTGTCCACAGGGTGCACTCTCTGTGACCGAGCCTATCCCTCTGACTGCCCTGATCATGGACCGGTGACCTTTGTTCCTGACACTCCGATAGAGAGCAGAGCGAGGCTCTCTCTGCCAAAGCAGCTTGTTCTCCGCCAGTCAATTGTGGGAGCAGAAGTTGGTAAGAGCCTTGGAACCATGAAACTCCGTTAAGTCTCTTCTTCCTTTGTAGAGTGGAGTTGTGAAAGTGTGAGTGTATGATTTAGTGATTATTTGGTGACCAAAAGTCAGTCTATGACCCAAGATTCATGCTTTTAGGAAATATTTGTCATTTGGTGGTGGTAACAATAAATCAGAGAGAAAAATGTATTGGCAGGACGGCTTTCCGTTTCTTAGAATCAGAATTGAGTAGAGGAAAGAAGCCTGGCCTGAGTCTTTGAAGACTTGTCTTTTACACTTAGCTGTCTCATCCCCTAACAATTATCCTAACAGTATTCTCTTTAAAACTTAGCATCTTGGGACCAGCAGATGGCGTAATGGTTATGTCACTGGACCCCCATGTAGTCGACCGCAGTTCACATCCCGGACCCGGTGGCTTAAAACATGCTTGGGGGACCAGCAGTTAGCATAATGGCTATGTCGCTGGACTCCCACGTAGTCGACTGTGGTTCGAGTCCCACACCCGGTGGCTTAAAACTCACACCGGGCGCGTGTGCGTGCGTGCCCAAGATCCCAAGAGGAGAATGGAGGAGAAGGGATTGCGGCATGGCCATCCCCCCTGGGGGGTGATTTCTCGCTTTCTCTCTCTCTCTTTCTCTGTCTGTCTGTCTGGCGAGCACACACGCCCTATGACAAAAAAACCTCTCAAAAAAAAGAAAAAACACATGCTAGGTGTGTGTGTGCATGCCCAAGATTCCGAGAGGAGAATGATGAAGGAGTCATGGCGTGGTCCTCCACCCCCTGGAGTCATGAGACCTTGACACCCTGAAGAAGGAAGGAAGTAATTTGCCCAGAGTTACATAAGGCTAGAAATGTCAGTGCTGGGATTCCAAACGCCCACGCAATCATCCCAAGTGATTTCTCGCTTTCTGTTCCTGTCTCCAGAAAGTGCACATGCCCTATACCAAAAATCTCTCTTAAAAAAAAAAAACGAACTTAGTTTCTTTTATGGAAGCATAGGCAATTCACCACTGATAACCTCATGGCACAAAAGGTATGAGAGGTCTTCAGAAAGTTCACAGATGTGCATTATGGAGAACTGCATGGGTTTCAGGAATTTTTTTGCACCAAAATAAACTCATATTTTAATTCCTTTTTTCCATGAAATTTTTAAGTCTCCTAGTATTTAAATAAAATATTTGTAGATTGCCTGACGCTCTTTAGGAAAAGGGATAAGGAGTGTAGCCTACCAGCGGCTACTTGCCTACTTAGAGTTTAACATGGCTTCTGAGGTGCTGTCCCTTTTCTTTGAAAACGGGAAATTAGGTGTCTCACTCTTTCAGCTGCAGCGCGGCCATGCGTCCTTTCAAAGAGACTAAGCAGCTTAGATCATAGAGAGCAGTGGTTTAGGGAGAAAAGAATTTAGAAGGTTGGTTTTCTTGCTTTCTATTTTGGTAATAGAGTAGTATTTTTATTTCTCTTTATGTGTAACTCCAAAGTGATTTATGAGGAGGAACATTGGTCGGTTTCTTGTATTCCAGGATTTCTGACACTGCTTCTCTCTATGTGTTTCCCCATTTACTCTGCTCACCGTATCTTACACATGTGTAGGCTAGGACCTTAGGGCCTGCCTGTCCTCAAGAGAGCGGGCATAGCCGTAGTTTTTAGGTTCATTGAAAAGAAGATTCTTTGCATGGGTTAAGCATCTGTCTCTTCTTTATTACTAGTCGTTTAAATCGATTGTGTAGTTGGTGTCCTTCTACTGATAGGTGTGTGGACTGCAGAGACCATCCCTGTGCGGACTTGCTTTGGGCCTCTAATTGGCCCGCAGAGTCACTCCCTGGAAGTAGCAGAATGGACAGAGAAGGCAGTTAACCATACCTGGAAGGTCAGTGTCGGTGAGACTTTCGCGACTTTTGGCTGTTTGTTATACTAAGATAGTTACCAGTGATACGAAGTTCAATTAGCCAGGACTGATACAGTACCATTCTCCTGTCATTTGTTTAATATTATATTCATTCTATTTTTTTAAAGAATTATTTTATTTAACTTTATTTACTTATTTTAATTTTAACACAGAGGGACACAGAGAAAGAGAGAGAGACTGAGAAGCAAGGTGCCAGGTCCAGGACTTGGACCGCAGTTGGCCATGTGGGAGTCTAGCACCCTCAACCACCATGCCACCTGCCAGCCCCCATTCTGTTCTTGATAGCCAACTTAGTAATATATAGCAAAATATTTTATATTAGAGTATTGTTGAAAATTGAGAATAAATGGTTTTAGTCCCTATGTTGTGAGATAATTGATTTCAATCATTTTATGCATTTTAATTATTTCTGGTACCTGAGGCCATGGAGTTTGTATGATGAAAGCCTTATTTTATAATCAGCTAAAACATTCCGCAATACTCAGCTGAAGAAACAAGTTCTAAGATATTAGAAGATTAAGATTATTTCTCTGGGTTGTGTTTTTTTGTTGTTTATTTTTTTTAGCTTTTTAAAAAAGATTTATTTAATTATATTTATTTATTCATTTATTTTAATTTGATCAGAGACAGAGAGAAAGTGAGAAAGCAAGCCTCCAGGTCTAGGACTCGAACCATGGCCGGCCATGTGGGAGTCCAGTGCCTCAGCCCTAAAGAGACAGAGTAGAAATGCACGGTTTTGACATAAACAGCTATTCTGACTTGAGAATGATGCTTGCAAATGACGTGAGGGAAGTGGGTCTCGTGGTAATTGTAAAGGTAAGTTGCAGTTGTCATTGGGGACTTCAATTATGGTGTTCAAAATGGAGCTCAGAGTGCTAGGTCCAGTTGGAAAAATGAGAAGGGCCGATTCTCTGCCTTTAATGGACAGTCGGTCGTTTAGTGCCTGTGATGCCTGTAACTGATGAAGACAGATAGATGAGGAAACCTTTTCCTTTTCCAGCATAAAAGTGAGTAAGGACAAAGTCATTCTGTACACTTAGTACTAACTGCAGGTGTCTGAGGGCTCTTGAGTCTTGCTGGGAACAGTGGGACTACTGAAATGACAGCCATGTGGGAAGGGCTGCCATTTTCACCCTGACCAGGAAAGCGTGTACCTACTGCACTTAAGCGAATACACGGTCGCCGGCCGAGATCTGTTGTAGTACTTTGTCACTGTCAGTTCATTTGACAAGGTGTTTTCCATTGCAGATATACCACAATGGTGTCCTAGAATTCTGCATCATTGCAACTGATGAAAATGAATGTAATTGGATGATGTTTGTGCGCAAAGCCAGGTAACAGTAGCCTTGAGTGGGAGAAATAAGTATCATTCAGCTGTTTTTCAGTAGGGAGCTTTGCACAAGATTGGGAAGAGCTGAAAAATCCACATTGATACCTGGATATACTTAAAGCCTAAGACTTCTTTCCAGTAGTGGTTGACTAATGGCGATTATAAATCAAAACACACAAAGCTGTCCTTTTTATTTTTATTTATTTATTTAACAACATATTTTTAGAGGTTTTTGCCATAGGGCATGTGCATTCACCAGAGAGAGACAGAGGGAAAATGAAAAATCACCTCCCCCAGGGGGGATAGTCACATCACAGTCGCTTCTCCTTCATTTTTCTCCTGGGATCTTTGGGTAAACATGCATACATGCCCACTGGGGTCCAGGACTCAAACCATACTCAGCTGTGTGGTAGTTCAACAACGAACCACCACGCTATCTGCCCACCCCTTTTTAATGACGAGAACAATATAGTCACTATTGAATTTGCAAGTGGTTATCTTCTCTTTATATTCGCTGTTAGCCTCCTCAGGCTGCTACTGGAGTTAATTCTTGTTCAACTAGCTACCTGTATGTCTTTTTTAAATTTTTTTAAGAGATTTTTGCTTATAGAGCACATGCACGCATCAGAGAGATGGAGAGAGACAGAAGGCAAAAAATCACCTCCTTGGGGGATGGCAGTGCCACAGTCACTTCTCCATTCTCTGAGATTTTGGGCACACATGTGTCCAGTGTGAGTTTTAAGCTGCTGAGTTTGAGATTCAAACCATGGTCGATTGTGTGGGAGTACAGTGATGTAACAATTATGTTATCTTGGTCCCTGTTATATTGTTTTTTAAGACTACATGTTATTACTCTTTGCCTCAAGTAACAGACTCTAGTGTTTCCTTTTTTTTTGGAGAGGTTTTTGCTATAGGGCGTGTGTGCCCGCCAGAGAGACAGAGAGATAGAAAGCGAGAAATCACCCCCTAGGGGGGGATGGCCATGCCACAATCCCTTGTCCTCCATTCTCTCGGGATCTTGGGCACACATGCACACGTGCCCAGTGTGAGTTTAAGCCACTGGGTCCAGGACTCGAACCGCGGTTGACTGCATGGGAGTCCAGCAACATAGCCATTATGCTAACTGCTGGTCCCGTAGACTCTAGTGTTTCTGACTGTAGTGGTTGTTAATCAATCGATAAACTAGAGTAAGAATTGTGTTTCTCTTCAAGTCTCTCCTAATAGATGGATAATTATTCAGAGAAATTAGTTCTCAGTTTTCATGTATGGTTTTGCTATCGAGTATATGATATGTTTAGTATAAAGTTCAAAATTAATAAACTTGGTCTATTATATGTGGTGATTTAGGAACCGGGAAGAGCAGAATTTGGTGGCTTATCCCCACGATGGAAAAATATATTTCTGCACCTCACAAGATATCCCTCCTGAAAACGAACTGCTTTTTTATTACAGCCGGGATTATGCTCAGCAGATTGGTAAGTTAATGTAAGATTTGTTCATTGTGCCTCTAGCACAGTCAAAATGTCAAGGACCAAGAGTAAAGTTGTGGTGATGATTTACATGTCAGCTGAGCAAGCCACATATCTTTGTAAATACGGAACAGACTAGTACCCCAGTGTTTGAGGTCTTAAAATCTGCAAAGTTCATGACAACCTGAATGTTACCAAACAGTATTCATAAGAAATGATCTTTGATGCTATACCTTTGATTTGGGCTTTCAAGTTCCTAAGAGTATATTTTATTTTTTATTTAGTTTTTGTTCATGATAGAGACCTACGTGTGTGCTCTTGAATGAGAGGGAGAAACAGAGACAGACAACCTCAGTAGGGTTTTATCGTGCTGCAAACCACTTGCCCCAGTTCTCCAGCCTGTTAAGATCTTGGGCAGGTCTGGGCCATACCAGGTGTCTTTAAGGTCAACCAAACCACGGACCTGAGCCCTGTGGTCAGCCATGTGGCCTCAGCACTGCAGCTCAGTATGCTGCTGACTTCACCAAATGCTGGGCCTTTAAGGCTACTTTTGTGAGCTAGCACTATTCAGATTTAAGTTCATAAAACAGAGTCCCTGATTTGATTTAACCTGCATAGGCTTTCTCTGCACTGTATCATGACAAGTGATGTTTAAGAGTTATGTGTTATAGAATGTAAATATTTTGCTTAGGAAAGAAGCCTTGTAATCTTGTTTTACTAAGTGCTTTTATGCACCTGGTACACTATTTTAGATTCTGGAAATAGAGCATTGAACAAGATGGTTTTACAGGAAGGGGGCAAGTTGGCTACTAATATTAAGAGCAAGTTTTAAGACAAAGTATCAGGAGACATTGAGTAATTTCTTTTTAAAGGTGTTCCTGAACACCCAGATGTGCACCTCTGTAACTGTGGCAAGGAGTGCAGTTCCTATTCAGAGTTCAAAGCCCATCTGACCAGCCACATCCATAACCATCTTCCTAGCCAGGGCCACAGCAGCAGCCACGGACCAAACCACAGCAAAGAAAGGAAGTGGAAGTGCTCGATGTGCCCCCAGGCTTTTATCTCTCCTTCCAAACTTCATGTCCACTTCATGGGTCACATGGGTATGAAGCCCCACAAGTGTGACTTCTGTAGCAAAGCCTTTAGTGATCCCAGCAACCTCCGGACCCACCTCAAGATACACACAGGTAAGTAATTTTGGATTGTCAGAATGTTTTCTTCTAATGAAAAATTTTCCCCTTGGCGAGCCGGCTCGGACGTCGCTCGTTCGCCCCCTGGACTCTCTTCCTTTCCCCCATCTGGCTGATGCACTCGCCCTGTTATGAGCCGTGGGGAAGGGGTCGGGGTGCACGGGAGCGCGCCTCAACCGCGGCGTTGCATCATTTCATGGAGCCCACGCGTTCAGGAGGAGCACGTGGCATCCATACTCGGCCTCTGGTGTGGCTGTCTGATAGCGTCATCAAGGTGTTCAACGACATGAAGGTGCGCAAGTCATCAACACCAGAGGAGGTGAAGAAGCGCAAGAAGGCAGTACTCTTCTGCCTGAGTGAGGACAAGAACATCATCCTGGAGGAAGCCAAGGAGATCCTGGCAGGTGATGTGGGCCGGACTGTCGACAACCTCTATGCCACCTTCGTCAAGATGCTGCCAGATATGGGACCAGCAGTTAGCGTAATGGCTATGTCGCTGGACTCCCACGTAGCCGACCGCAGTTCGAGTCCCGGACCCGGTGGCTTAAACTCATACTGGGTGCGTGTGTGTGCGTGCCCAGGATTCCAAGAGGAGAATGGAGAAGGGATTGCGGTGTGGCCATCCCCCCTGGGGGGTGATTTCTCGCTTTCTGTCTGTCTCTATCTGTTTGGCGAGCGGCAAAAACCTCTCAAAAAAAACGATGCTGCCAGATAAAGACTGCCGCTATGTCCGCTATGATGTGACCTGTGAGACCAAAGAGAGCAAGGGGAAGACCTGGTGTTCATCTTCTGGGCTCCCCCTAAGAGCAGAATGTTCTATGCCAGCTCCAGGGATACCATCAAGAAGAAACTGACAGGGATCAAGCATGAATTACAGGCAAACTGCCAAGAGGAGGTCAAGGACCACCACAACCTGGCAGAGAAGCTGGGAGGCAATGCTGTCATCTCCCTGGAGGGCAAACCTTTGTGGGCCCCCTCCAGTCCCCTGCCTGGAGCATCTGGCAGCCCCATACCTGCCCTTGGGGGTTGCAGGCAGCCCCCTTCCTGCCAGACCAGAGGGGCTGGTGGGCCCAACAAGGGAAGGGCAATTCCTTCACCCCAGTTGCCAAACAGCCCCCCTCCTATCCCCTGGATCTTTCTCCTCCCTTCATCCCTGACAGTTCTGGCTTTCCCAAACCGCTTTTGATCTTCCAATTCCTTCTTGGGTTGAAGCAGAGCAAGTTCCCCCCCAGGCAGGGGGGAGCCTGTATTTTTTTTTAACAACATCCTTACTCTCCATCTGTTCCTCCCCTCCCCATGCTGCCAGCTTCTAACCACAATAGTGACTATGTGCTTGTCTGTTTAGTTCTGTGTATAAATGGAATGTTGTAGAGATGATCCCTCCCGTGCCGGCTGGTTCCCTTCCCCTTTCTCCTTGTCATGGCCACTCATGGAAGCAGGACCTTCAGTTTAAAAAGATAATTGACAAATGAAAAGACTCATAATGGGGGAGAAATTTCCCCTTTAATCGTTATAGTGCATGTGCGAGGCGGAGGGAGGGCGAGAGGGAGATGAGTACCCGCCTTGGGATCTGGTTTTGCTGCGATCCCCTTCCTTCAGTCTTCCGGCCCTTTGGATCTTTGGCACTCTGTGTGTTGACATGGTTCAGACCAACACAACTGGGGCTTCGAACCATGATCCCCTTAGGGAATTCAACTTCTCTTGAGCAGTGTAGTACTATTGTGCCAGGGAACCAGCTCCCAAATGGGATTTTTGCAACAATTAGAAATTATAGTAGTGAAGGATTCTATTTCATCCCTGCTTTTATGAGGTCATATATGTTAACTAGAAAAAGACAGTAAATGAGAAAATATAGCTTGTAGAAATACATCAGTAAGGACCAGTAGCTGGCGTAATGGTTACGTTGCTGGACTCCCACGTAATCAACCTTGGTTGGAGGCCTGGACCTGGCGGCTTAAAACTGGCTGGGTTCGTGTGTGCTCAAGATCCTGAGAGGAGAATGGAGGAAGAGGGATTATGGCATGGCCACCCCATGATTTCTTGCTTTCTGTCTCTGTCTCCCCAGTGAGCTCACACGCCCTGTAGCAATAAAAACTCTTAAAAAAAAATGTGTCAATAGACAGGTAATAGAATTGGTGAGTTCTAGGAGCAGCAGATGGCATAATGGTTATATTGCTAAACTCCCACGTGGCCAACTGTCGTTCAAGTCTCAGGCCTGGAGGCTTGAAACTCATGTCAGGTTCATGTGTGTATGTGCCCAAAATCTCAAGAGGAAAATGGAGGACAAAGGATTACAACATGGCCATTATCCCTGCAGGGAGTGATTTCTCGCTTTCTGTATCTCTGTTTCTCCAGGGAGTGCACGTACCCTGTAGCAAAATCTCTCTAAAAAAAAAAAAATTGATGAGTTCTTTTGTTTAATAATTGTATTGGGGTACTGTTACTGAAGTGATTATTTTTCATTTGTTTGCTATAGATATTAAAATATTTAATATATTTGTGTGTAAGAGGTTCTAGAGGGAGGTTAAATGTTTATTCCCTTTACTACCTTTAATAAATTACAAATTTAGCAGCTCTGAATAATTCTAGGTAGAAGGCCTAGAGTGCCAGGTGACAGTTCGGTTACAGTCAGTTCCTCATTCCTGCCTCTGCTAGGTGTTTGCCCGTTTTGATTGCCAGCAGTTGTTTTATTTATTGTGATAATTTGGGTTCATTTGCAGGTCAGAAGAACTACAGGTGTACCTTGTGTGACAAGTCTTTCACCCAGAAGGCTCACCTGGAATCGCATATGGTCATCCACACAGGGGAGAAGAATCTGAAGTGTGATTACTGTGACAAGTTGTTCATGCGGAGACAGGACCTCAAACAGCATGTGCTCATTCACACACAGTAAGTTACCCTACAGCCAAGAGATCCTCCCTCCGGGGATCCCTAGTACAGCTATAGCCAAGCCTGCCAGGTCAAGGGCTTGGAAGTGCTGGCTCATCTGTGACCTGCTTCATGCTGTGGTAGATGTCGCCTGTGTTCCATGTAGCCAAGCAAGGATTGGATTTTTCTCTTTGAAAATTATCTCACTTGTTTATTACTTTAATCATGCACTTTATATACTTATTTGATGACCAGGATTGTACTAGGTTGTAGAAATGTGGAGGTGAAAGGCACTCTCCCTGTCTTTAAAGAGCTCAAAGCGCCCAGGAAGGGAAACCAGCATGTTAACCTTTCTGATAGTGGCACAGGTGTTAGCGTATGCACTTGGTTTTGAGAGATCAGAGGAGGAAAAGTTTCCTGGTAGTTTGAGCATTTTTCCCCCCAGTGTTGCTCTGGAGTGCATATATTCTCCAGAGAAAGGTTGGTCATCCACATACGAAGGAGGGATGGCCATGCTACAGTCCCTTCTCCTCCTGTCTCCTCTCAGGGTTTTGGGTTCACATGCCCAGTATCATTCTCAAGCTGTTAAGCCCTGGTCTAGGGCTTAACTATGCAGTCAGCCATGCACACGTGCCTCGCGTGACTCTCAAGCTGTGAGGGCCAGGACTTGAATGATACAGTTGACCATGTGAGATCTAGCATCTTAACTGCCATGCCACTCGCTGGCCCAGTTTGAGCTAAGTCTTCAGGAAGGTAGAATTAATGTGAGTGGTATTCTAGATGGGATTTGGTTCTTGCACACACGTGTGCCCAGAGTGATTTTAAGCCACCAGGTCCAAGACTCAAACCACAGAGTCAGCTATGTGGAATCTGCCTTAATCTCTATGCTACCTGCTCGTCCTGATTAACTTTTTTTTTCTTTAATTTTATTCATTTGTTTATTTTTTAATTTGACCAGTGAGAGAGACACAGAGAGAGAGGAAGTGAGAAAGCAAGCCACCAGGTCTGGGACTCGAACTGTGGTCGGCCACATGGGAGTGTCCAGCACCTTAACCACTATGCCACCTGCTGGTCCCTGCTGATTAACTTAATTTGTATGCACATAATGTTTTCCATCTGCAGAATTAAAAGGTTGGAATAAATTGGTTTTACAACTATTCCAGAGAATTCTAAGGACTCCACTGAATTCTTTACCACTGTCTCTTTGCTAGAAAAGGATGGTAGATACATTTCCTATATAGATGTATAGTAGGGTAGAGCTTTTTCTGAAAAAGCCCTGCAGTTGTGAAGAACACGTGCGTGCCTCAGTTTTCATTTGTTACTTCACATGTCTTTTCTTGTGTTGTTCTTAGAGAACGCCAGATCAAGTGTCCCAAGTGTGATAAGCTGTTCTTGAGAACAAACCACTTAAAGAAGCATCTCAATTCTCATGAAGGAAAACGGGATTATGTCTGTGAAAAATGTACAAAGGCGTATCTAACCAAATACCATCTCACCCGCCACCTGAAAACCTGTAAAGGACCCACTTCCAGTTCATCAGCACAAGAGGAGGAAGAGGATGATGACTCAGAGGAGGAAGATCTAGGAGATTCTGTGGGAACAGAAGACTGTAGGATTAACAGTTCTGTATATTCAGCCAATGAGTCACTCTCTACACATAAATAAAAAAAGCAGACTATTTTGGATGGAAAATGCAAAGGGAAAAACACACATAAACAGTTATCCACTACAATGTTTTATATAAAATGGTTTTGATTTCTTTTCAGACAGTAGTCAAAATAAACGGAATGAGATTGGAGAAAGCACTTATAGAAGAAAGAGTCTCCTAATGAAAACCGTTTAAAGCAGACTAGGAAAAGAGAACGTATGTCCTATTTTAAGTGACAAATGGGAAGGAGTCAGCTTTCGAGGTCTGTTCTTTATTTTTGTGATAATCTGGGAGATGCATTTCATGCCTGGGTCAAAGCTGCCTTCCACACAGACAAATCGGATGCATCATATTCTTCCATTAGCCCTATTTCTCCTAGCCCGATAGCTTGTTAACACTTTGAATTTGGTCCCTGCTCCATAGCCATCCCAGTGGCTGGTTGTGTTTTTTGTACTGTTGTGACTTACACTCATCCCAGATGGATTGCGGTGCTGCAGTGTAAGTGTGTCTTTTTGGCTGCAGCTCACAAGTTTAAGGTGGCACCTGCCTTAACCGTTATTTGGGAGCTTAGGGTAGATCTTGCTTCCCAGATTTTCAGCAGATGCCTGAGGGCAAATAGAAGAAGAGCAGTCAGTCAGTAGGCAGGGATGGGAAAAGAAAAGAGATGTTTTACCTGGCCACTGTCCCAGAAGATAGCTTTGATAGAAACCAGGGCAAGGAACCTGGTTATTGTTACTTAAAGATCTTTGTAGGTTTAGACATCTATATCCAAGAAAACCTCCAGTCATTCAGAGGGAACCTGGAGGTGTACAGAGAGCTCAGATAATGCCAGCTGGACTGCCTCCTGACCAACAGTTACAGACTCACCTGACACAGCGGGACCTCAGCCAATGTAAAGGGAGGAAAGAAATGATCTCTTATATTTGATTTACCTTATGAAAAGTATCAAGACACCATTAAAATGAAAATGTTGCCAACTCAGAGCAACAAGTAACTGTAAACACATTGGTGCATTGGGAGGTTAGGCCTTCCCAGTTGTCTGTGCTGGCAGACCTCACCAGATAAGCCTGGAGATGCCAAAGGAGTTGGAGGGTAAGGAAAGCTTAATGGATAGGACATGGGCCTGTTTTGGGGGTCCCAGCTTGATTAATTCATCCATCCACCTGGTCTTTGTGTCTCACATGGTGTTCGCGGAAGCTGACCATCGTTAAGTTGAAGAGATTGGTAAAACATGCTCTCCTGCTAGAAGGCACAACCTCTGGGCTGGAGTAGAGGACTTTGGTGGGAAGGTTTTGCTGCTAATGTATTTATGGAATGAATGTATTTCATTCAAACTTGTATTCCTCTAGGAAGGATTAAAATTAAAGCTTTTTTTAAAATACAGGATTCCTCTTGTAATCTTGTTTTTTGGAGAAAGGAGATGAATGTCTTTCAGGGGAAATCAAGTACAAGTTGAGTTTTTCTAAGGTTAGAAGGGAAGGAATTATTTTTTTTAATTATTACAGCGTCGAGGTCATTCTGAGTCACTCTTTCTGTGTAATAGTGCTTAGACAAACTGCTCTGGCAGTTGATGGCAGTTCATCCTTCCTCTTCTGTGATACTGCTTTATGGTAGTGCCTACTGCTTCCTTGGAGAACTGGCAGGTCTACAGTTGAGGGCAGTGTGGCGTGTAGTGGGTGGATAGGGGTAGCTACTGATAACGCATCACGAAGCCTCAGGCAGCTCTGTTTCCTGGGGCAGCTTCAAGCTCAGCCTTTTGCCAAAGGCGTCCGGGTCACGGGCTCCTCCTGTTCCCAGGAAACGCTAGTGCTGGAACTACACATTTCCTTTCTTCCATGATCTCAGTAGTTGGGGTTAAATTGCTCCCCAGGAAGAATTGCTATGTAGCAATCCTTTCTCCACTGGAGGCAAAGAGTACCCCAACAGGGTCTTCACATCATGATCCCGTCGCCTTCTGACAGCCCTGAATCGTAAGCAAGTCCATGCCTAGCGTATTCTGGGTAGCTCTGGACTTGATCCATGAAGTGGAATTGCCTTATAGATTGTGTCTTAACAATGTACCAACAGACCCCCAAATATCAAATATCCTACCTTTGAGGAAAAGGACACCCTGGGAGTGTTGATCAAAGCACTTTTGGTTGGTAATTTAGCAGTGTCAAGATATTTACATCTATTTATACCCATAATTCTGTGGAAATGCTTACACATAGGTAAAAGAGAAAATAGGCCATATTTTAGTTTGTTCTTCTGGGCATGTGATGAGGATGGAAGACTATACCAGTATTTAAAAAAAAAAAAATGTTGACTGTGAGCTCCTTGCCCGGGTCCCTACCCTGTCTGCTGTGCCTGCCCGCCCGCCCGCGCCCGCACTGGCCAACCTTCAGCAGCTGCAAGGAAGATGGCGCCTGGTGGACAGCAAAGGCTTTGGAGAGTACATGAAGGAAGTAGGTGTGGGAATGGCTCTGCGAAAAATGGGTGCAATAGCCAAACCAGATTGTATTATCACTTGTGATGAGAAGAACCTCACCGTGAAAACTGAGAGCACTTTAAAAACAGCACAGTTTTCTTGTACCCTGGGAGAAAACTTTGAAGAAACTATAGCTGATGGAAGAAAAACTCAGACTATGTGACTTTAAGGATGGTGCGTTGGTTCAACATCAAGAATGGGATGGGAAAGAAAGCACAATAACAAGAAAACTGCAAGATGGAAAATTAGTGGTGGACTGTGTCATGAATAATGTCACCTGTACTCGAGTCTATGAGAAAGTAGAATAAAAATTCCATCATCACTTCAGACAGGAATTAGCTGCAAGAATGAACAAGCTCAGTTCAATGAGCAAATCTCCATACTACTTTTTTTCATTACTGTGTTCAATTACCTTTATCGCAAACATTTTGCATACAACTATTTCCAAGTGTTGATTTAATTAAGATCATCCCTTTGGTTAGTAAATAAATGTGTTTGTGCTAATAAAAAAAAAAATGTGCCTTCCAACTGCCCCAGGTATATACCAGATCAGCCCTTCCCACATTGCTTTACCACAATTAATCCTTCAAACCTGCACCATGGAGCAGGGAGCAGCAGCTATCAGTAAGACCACCTGAGGCAGTAAGACCACCTCAGACCTCCTCCTGCATTCCCAGTGCCCCATTTTTTCAAAGAGAGACTTTTGCTATAGGGCGTATGCACTTGCTAGAGAAACAGAAAGCAAGAAATTATGGCCACGCCACAATCCTTTCTCCATTCTCTCAGAATCTTGGGCATACACGCACACGCACCCAATGTGAGTTTTAGGCTGCCAGGTCTAGGACTCAAACCACAGTTAACTGTGGTAGTCCAACTATGTAACCATCTGCTGGTCCCAACTGGCATGATTTTCAGCCCTCTAGGTCCAGGACTCAAACTACAGTCAGCCATGTGGGAATCCAACTCCTTAACCCCCATGCCACCTCCTGGCCCCTACTACACCAGCATCTTAACACTGAAAATGGATTAAAAAAAAAATGAAGTGTTCTCGCCATGCCCCCTGGCCGAGGGGAGATGGCCAATCCTTTCTCCTCCATTCTCCTCTCGGGATCTTGGGCACATATGCACTTGTGCCCGGCGTGAGTTTAAGCCACTGCATCCAGGACTCGAACCGTGGTCAACTACATGGGAGTCCAGCGACATAGCCATTATGCTAGCTGATGGTTCCAAGACCTGGCTTTTGACGGAAAGTGGAGTAATATGGAAGATTCACTACTGAGTGAAGTAAGCCAGGCTATGAAGGAGAGACATTGTATGTCTCCACTTAATATATACTGAGTGTCTCCACTCTATGACAGAAACTGAATGACTAAAAGATATAGAAATACAGTAAAGGGTTGTGAATACCAGATATAGGGTGGGAAGAGGATGGGTGAAAAAATAGAGTCTGAGGAAGGACATTGAGAGTGGCATAGTATTAATGGGACAAAGAAATAGGGTATTGTTACCTGTTGAAGATAACTTTATAGTAACAATTGGACTCGGGAGAAATGCACACATGTTGGATTATTCACTTTATGAGCTAAATAATGTGATTGAATGTATAAAAGAACTTAAAATAAAATGAAGAAAGTTATAAGAGAGCTTTGCTTAAAACTTAAAAAAATAAAAAAAGAACTATGTCTCTTGAAAAAAAAAAAATGAAGTGTTCTCAAGAAAGGAAATGAGAGGTACCAGCAGATGGTCTAATGGTTACATCTCTGGACTCCCATGTAGTTGACCATAGTTCAAGTCCCAGATCTGGCAGCTTAAAACACACCAGGTATGTATGCGTGCATGCCCAAATTCCTGAGACGAGAAGAGAGATTGTGGGGTGGCCACCCCCCAGGAGGGGGGGTGGTTTCTCACTTTCTGTCTCTGATGAGCACATGTGCCCTACAGCAAAATTTAAAAAGGAAGTGAATAAATTATGGCACATCCACTTTAAGCTATTAAAGAGGTTGAGGTCAATCCGTATATACTAGGATAGAAGTATCTCTAAGATGGGCCAGCAGGTGGCATGGTGATTGAAGGCACTGGATCCCGCATGGCCCACTATGATTTGAGTCCCGAACCTGGCAGCTTGCTTTCTCCCTTTCCTTGCTTGCTCTCTCTCAGGTCAAATTAATAACAACAAATGGAATTAAATAAATAAATTCTAGTGAAAAAAATATCTCCAAGGCATTGGTAAGAGATAAAAGCATGTGGCCTGATCATCTATTATTTATCTTTATATAACAGGAGTTGAACAATGCTAGATGTTAATCCTCTCTTACTATGCTTGCTTTTAGAATCTGGAAAGCTAAATAGACCAGATTCCTTTAGAGGCAAGATTCTAAACAAAACTAAAACTCCCCTAATCAGTTGCACTTGACTGAATTATGTGAGGAGAGGAGGGCTTGCAGCATCTCCTCTACAGGGTTGGATATCATCGTGTATTTTAGAGCTTCTGGTGATTACAGATGGAGACTCACTTTCTTTTTTTTTCTTTTTTTCTTTTTTTTTGGAGAGGTTTTGCTATAGGGTGCGTGCGCTCAGACAGAAAGTGAGAAATCACCCCCCAGGGGGGATGGCCACGCCACAATCCCCTCTCCTCCATTCTCCTCTCGGGATCTTGGGCACGCACGCACACGCACCCGGCATGAGTTTAAGCCACCGGGTCCAGGACGCAAACTGCAATCAACTACGTGGGAATCCAACAACATAGCCATTACGGTAACTGCTGGTCCCTTCACAGATGGAGACTTTCTGATGTGGCAGGTAGCTTCCCAATCATAGAAGCAGCAGCTAGCTACACCTTGCAAGCTCACTTCTGTAGTATTAGATTGGGAGTCATGCCTAGAATTTAGCTTGACTCTTTTCTTCACCCTTTTCAGTAATTCTATACTGTTTAATAAGTTCCTTTTGCTTAAGCTTACCAGAGGAGATTGTATTGTCTGCAAGTAAGAATCTGTTTGTTTTTTTTGTTTGTTTGTTTTTAAGAGGTTTTTGCGATAGGGCATGTGCGCTCGCCAGACAGGCAGAGACAGAGAGAGAGAAAGCGAGAAATCACCCCCCAGGGGGAATGGCCACGCTGCATTCTCCTCTTGGGATCTTGGGTATGCACACACACATGCCCAGTGTGAGTTTTAAGCCACCGGGTCCAGGACGCGAACCGTGGTCGACTACATGGGAGTCCAGCGACATAGCCATTATGCTAACTGCTGGTCCCTGCACGTAAGAATCTTAATCAAGAAATTGGTTTTGAGAAATGTTGCAGAAAACAGACCCTCAGGGATATAACATCTTGGCATTGTTATCTAACCTGGCTGACTTCCAAGGCAGTGAGGATCCAGTTACCATTAGAAGATGGGAAACAGAATTGTACTTGGCACCTATGGCTGAGATATGGGTTAATTATCACCTGCAATGAAATATACCCATACCAAATTCAGTTTAAACTATGTTCCCCCTTCCCTAGTTTAGTATCCTCAGAATCTTTTTGACATATAATTCCTCAAGATTTTCTGTTACTATATAAACTTTCTTTCCAACCTTTGACTTTAAAATGGCCTAAATAAGGGCTTTGATGGTTTCCTCTAGTCAGAGGTCAGAAGCAGTAAGAGGTGGTAGCAGTGGTAAGTGAGAATTGGAATTATTATTATTTTGGAGATTTTTTTGATATATAGTGTGTGCGCTACCAGAAAGAGAAAAACAGAGACACAGAAAGCAAGAAATCACCCCCAGGGGGGATGGCCATATCACAGTCCCTTCTCTTAGGATCTTGGGCACGCATGCACATGCGCCCGGCATGTGTTTAAGCCCCTGGGTCTGGGACTTGAACCGTGGTCGACTATATGGGAGTCCAGTGACTTAGCCATTATGCCAACTGCTGGTCCCT